TGCCCTTCCTGGTTGGTTTAAAGGATGGAGCGCGGACCTATGTGCGTAATTGTGCGTAATAATTGTGCGTAATTGTGCATAACTGGACGCGTGTGTTCCCTTAAGTATCGCCCTTTCTAGAATTAGGTGCTTCTGTTTTCTTCTTTTTACATATTTTCTAATGCCCTCCCTGGTGTGGGTCAGTGGATAGAGCGTTGTCCTGCAGACCAAAGGGTCCCGGGTTCGAGTCCGGTCAAGGGCACGGACCTGGGTGGCAGGCTCCTCCCCAGCCCAGCAGGGCGCGTGCAGGAGGCAACCAATAGATATATTTCTCTCACATCGATGTTTCTCTCTGTCTTTCCCTCGCTCTGAAAATCAATGGGAAAATATCCTCGGGTGAGGATGAAAAAATGTGCGTAATTGTGCGTAATTGTGCGTAACTGGGCACGTGTGTTCCTTTTAGTATCGCCCTTTCTAGAATTAGGCGCTTCTGTTTTCTTCTTTTTACATATTTTTTATTCCCCTTCCTGGTTGGTTTAAAGGATGGAGCGCGGACCTATGTGCGTAATTGTGCGTAATTGTGTGAAATTGTGCTTAATTGTGCGTAACTGGGCACGTGTGTTCCTTTAAGTATCGCTCTTTCTAGAATTAGGTGCTTCCGTTTTCTTCTTTTTACATATTTTTTATTCCCCTTCCTGGTTGGTTTAAAGGATGGAGCGCGGACCTATGTGCGTAATTGTGCGTAATGGAAGCATGTGTTCCTTTAAGTATCGCCCTTTCTCGAGTTAGTGCTTCTGTTTCCTTCTTTTTTACATATTTTTTATTGCCCTCCCTGGTGTGGCTCAGTGGATAGAGCGTCGGCTTGCAGACCAAAGGGTCCTGGGTTCGAGTCCGGTCAAGGGCACGGACCTGGGTGGCAGGCTCCTCCCCAGCCCAGCAGGGCGCGTGCAGGAGGCAACCAATAGATATATTTCTCTCACATCGATGTTTCTCTCTGTCTTTCCCTCTCTCTGAAAATCAATGGGAAAATATCCTTGGGTGAGGATGAAAAAATAAAATATATAAAATAAATAAAATGTAAAAAAAAAATACATTTTTTTTATTGGTTTCAGAGAGGGAGAGAGAGAGAGGGAAACATCAACGATGAGAGAGAATCATGGACCGGCTGCCTCCTGCACGCCCCCTACTGGGGATCGAGCCCACAACCCGGGCCTGTGCCCTTGACCGGGAATCGAACCCGGGACCTCCTGGTTCCT